TGCAGCTCTGGAAAATATCTTGGCTGTTTCTTCTAAAGTTAAACATATACCTACCACATAATCCAGCTTAAAAATTAAAAATAACAAAACATACCAAGTACATTCATTTAACCAAAATATAAAAAATAAAGGAAAGAATAAGAATATTGTTTCCATTTACAGATAAGGAAACTGACTTACCCAAAGTCATTCAATTAATAAATGATAGGTTCTGAACTAGAACCACATCTTTAAGGACTTCATTTTCTACCTGTTGTTACATGAGAAATAAACCTTCAAAACCCTAAGCCAAATTATGTATCAGCATGCTTTTGGTTGCAAGTAACCAAAGCCCCAATTCAGAGCTACTTAAAGAAAAAGGAAATTTATTATTTTACATAACAAGGTGTCCAGTGGTAAGGAGAGTCAGGCGAGGTTGGTTGATTTTGCAACTAAATGATGTCTTAAATCACTAAAGTTTCTTCTTCCTTACACTCTGCCAAACCAATTTCATTCTAAGGCTGTTTCTCTTCATGGTCAGAGTATGGCTGCTGGTCTTCGACAGGGATATATGCTTCCTTATTCATATCCAGTGGAAGATAGACAACCAATAACAATCTCATAGAGCTTGTAACTAAAGTGTATATTGCATGTAAATGCTGTGGTTTCTTAGGGTCTTAAAGATCACACACAGCTATAAAAATATTTATGTAATTAGTAACATTTCTGAGATAAACAGCTTCTCACCTTAGTAACAGCCATATGTCTTATTTGTACAGATCTCAAATTTGCAATAGATTTTTTGGCAATAGCTATGTTGAGGCTCTTAGACACTGTACCTCATTTTAGTTAGCATGTTAAAGTTTCCCAAGCTGTGTAATCGCTCATTTTATAAAACCTTTAGTTGAACAGATGAGGACTCTGAGGATCTTAGAGGAGTCAAGTAACTTAGACAAATTCACCATCAGTTAGTGACCCAGCCAGAGGTCATATTTGATCTTCAAACATCTCATAATTCTTTCCTTTACATCACATCGATTCCCTCTTCAGTGCTTAGATTTCACTAGGGAGATACAGTAGCAATTTCAAAGACATATTGCAAGTCCATACATGATGCTCACAAGCTTTAAATGTCAGGAAACTCACATTGTTTATGTCCCCAATTTGGCTATTTGGAATTTTAGACTCAAATGGGATAGCACAAACTTAAAATCCTAGAGTCTCATCAACTTTTCCATCTCCCTTCCCTCAACATCCACTCAACTGTTCTGATAGGTGTATTCTAATCCCTAAATCTCTCAATATGTGCTCAGGCCTTTATAACACAGTAACTTCTGTCTTTTTGTCTCCATTTTCTCCACACTGTACTTCTTACACAATGGTGCTGGATTAGTGTTTTCAAAACACAATGCAGATAATCACATATCTTTGTCTGCCCCAGCTCTAAAACTTTATTAATCTTCCTTTGACTATAGATTAAATTCATAACTCCATAATATGGCTTTCTAAGGCCCTCAACAATGTGACTCCAATATTCCTTTTCAAATCTTGAGAAAATCCTCTCTTCTGGATGGAGGTTATAGTCAGTGATGTACTGGAGCCAGTTCACAATGGCTTGCAAGAGCCAATCTTACACCTCCCTTCCCAACTCTGTGTTCAGTGATGTCACTGTAGTAGCTTAAAGCTGACCATGGCATGGTAGGAACATTTACACCAGACAAATCAGTCAATGCCACAAATCAAAGCCTTCCTCTTTTCCTTTTTTAAAAAAATATATCTTTTTATTGATTTCAGAGAGGGGAAAGGAAAGGGGAACAGAAACATCAATGATGGGAGAGAGTCATTGATCATCTTCCTCCTGGAACCCCCACACTGGGATCGAGCCCACAACCCAGGCATGTGCCCTGACTGGGAACCGAACTGCGATCTCCTGGATCATAGGTTGATGATCAACTGCTGAACCATGCTGGTTGGATGCCATTTTAGTGTTTTGAAGAGGTGGTTATTAAACATTTATCAGCACACCACCAGATGCAGGGTAACCAGGATGATTTCTGACAATAAGTGTTCTTTATGATATGGGGACAAAGATGTTGACACTGAAAATCCAAGTACTAAATCAGATATAAGGGGGACTAAGGGAAGAGAGTAGGAAGCAGAACATTGAAAAAATGTTGAGAAAGTAAACCTGGGCAAAGATTGAGTTCTCACAGAAGCAGACATTGAGAAAGGGATTGTAATTCAAGTGGTTTATTTGGAGGATGATCCCAGGAAGCACTGGTAGGGGGTGAGGGAAGTGACACTGAAAGGAAGACAGCTAATACAGGGTACATTGATGAGCAGGTTTCTACTGTGGGCAACTGAGGCTCAGTCCCACTGGAGACATGTTTTACTCCTCACTCACACAGGGTGAGGAGTATGGGGAGTTTATTCTCAGGTAGACAGCTGTCAGTGCTTGCATTAAGAAGTGGCAGGTATGTAGGGGAAGACTATGAACAAAACATAAGACACTCATGGTTTTCTGTTTTGTTTTTTTTATAAATAAGTTTTTATTGATTTCAAAGAGAGAAAGGGAGAGGGAGGGAGAGAGAGATAGAAACATCAATGATGAGAGAGTCATTGATTGGCTGCCTTCTGCATGTCCCCTGATGGAGATCAAGCTCACAACCCGGGCATGTGCCCTCACTAGGAATGGCACAGAGCTCTCCTGGATCATAAGTCAATGCTCTACTGTTGAGCCATGCCAGCTGGGCTGTTTTTTGTTTTTAATATATATAATTTGCTCGGTGGTGGCATGGCTTCATTTAAATAGTCAATGATGGGGTTGATCCACGCCTCCAATGGTGAATCATTTTTTGCTACTCTGAACACCTTATTTGTTACTTCCTCGGGGTCTGCTCACGAGTTCCTTCCTTTGCTGTAATATCCTTTGTAAGTACCTCCAGTCCATTAAGGACTAGTGCCACCTTCTCCAAGAACCCCATCTAACCCTTACTCCCACCCCCAATGGTGGAAGCTGGATGAGGAACAAGCTAAGCTCGAGGTCCCATGGGGATGAAGCAAGGGAGTAGGGAATAAGCCCCTCCTCCTTGGTTAGAATGCATTGGGTCAGAGAACAGATACAGAAGCTGTGCTGTGGAGTCATTTCAAATAATGAACTCCATGTGAGAAGGGACTCGTCATTCCTATTTATCACTATATCCCTTACAGCCCACCCAGCATAGAGACCTAGCCTATGGTGGCTGCACAACTGTTGTTGGCAGCAGAGAAATATGAATAAATGGAGGGATGGATGGACAAAGGGAACTAGGTAGGAAGCCAAACCAGGCAGTTGAAGAGGAATTAGAGGAGCCATGGAGTAAGAGGATGAATGACAAACACTGTAAGGTGTTTTTCCACATGTGACCCAGATTTCAGTTGAGATTTATTGTATTTTGAGATTCAGTGAAATTGCCTTTAACCTCATCCCACGTGTGGGGCAGCTCTACTCTTCCAATATCTCTGAGGATTATGGATGGTTTAGGTTTTTCTTGTGTTTTTTTTTTTAATGCCTCTGGTGAACTGAATGCCTACCTTCATAGAATTATGAGGGTGAGTTGCTTTGACATCTCAGAAGTTCTACCCACATTCTCTACCACAGCACTGCAGACACTTCTTGATTTCTCTCCAAACATTGCTCATAGGAGTTGAGTTGTCTGTGTAGGTAGCACAGCTGACTGAAGATACGGACTTTATGTTAGCATGCAGTTTGACCTCTTCTCTCTCAGTCTTCCTGTAAACATTCTGTTTCCTTCCCTCTATTACGTAGACCAATTTCATTCTCTGAATTCTATCCAGCAATTTGTCCATTTTGCCTCTACAAAGATGCTTGATGGTCTTTTCAAACAAATTATCCATCTATTCTCCCACTTGGAGCATTCACTCTATACCTTCTTACCTCCATGCCTTTGCAAACACTTGACTCTGCCTGAAATACTCTTTCTAGAACAGAGGATTTGGCAAAGATTTGGAAATTTTGGTCTTTCTCGCTCTTGATCCCACATCATTCTTCATAAATAGAAGGGAATAGTGTCAGGATTCATTTCCCCGATATTAATTATGACATCACAACCATCCCTGCCCCTGAAGTGGCCATAGTTGGCTTTTAAATAGCATTTTTCTTGTATTACATAAACTTCTAGCAAGTGCTTACCTGGGTTTACAAAAGTTTAATAAATTGACCGGAAGAGGCAGCCCCTACCCCTTTCCCTCTTCCCCTGCCTCCTGCCCTTCCCAGCTTAGAGTATTTCCCCTTTCCTATGATGTGGTAGCACTTCATTTGGACCTCTTCTATGGGCTTGTGTTGTGGATATTTAGTTACAAATCTTATCACCCTTATTGAACTATAAACTCTGCAAAGGTAAGATCATCTTCCTCCCCTGAAATTCTAGCCTAAACCTGTATCTGACACAGAATAGATTTTGAAAACATCCAATTTATAAGTGTAGCTGAATGAATGAATGTGAAACTTTGGAAGGCCCCTTAGTGATCTGGAAAGGCTGTCAGGGGAGAAGCATATGGAACCACCCTCCCACTTCTACTAATTCTGAGTTCTTGCCACAATTAATAGGCAGCCACTGATTTATTGAAGACCTACTATGTGCAAGACGCAATGGGAGTTCCAGCTTTTTGCCGCCAAAAAAGAAAAGAAGCTAAAACTAAAAGCTTCCAAGGCAGTTCTTTTTATATTTCTATTTATTTTCGTGTAAAGGCTGGGAATTAGAGATAGGAAGGTGATATCTCTGGAAATACTGAGGGGTGTCATGTCTACATCTGGGGTTTGGCACTGCCAATTCACATTTTCTGAATGAGTTATTTCTATGTGCCTTCACAACAGCTAGCATTGCGGTGTCTTGCATATATTATATTCTCAATGAGTACTTGTCAGTTGATTTTGTACAAGTATGTGACAGCATAAATATATTATGAAAAATGAGGAGTTTGAGCACCAAAAGAGTCAGGATTTTTCTAAAAAAACACACAGTGGTAAAGCTTGGCTTAAAGTTCAAGTACCCCTGAACCCTGCCCTACAGTATCTCTAAACAAGGGAATTTGATAAGGCAGTTAAAAGATAATATTACCTTTGCTCTCTCACTGCAATCAAAAGCATTCTTAGCTTTTAGGTAGACCCCACGGACTACCTTGGTGGGGCATTTTCAAGAGCATAGAATCATCGTTTCTGCTAGCAAAAGAAGATGCTGTTTAATTTGAGAATCTTGTTGAACAATGCAGCTCTTAGAAATGGTCACCGTTTTATGGTTCGAAATTTCCGGTAAGTGACAATGGCCAGAGATTTGAGTCTGATTTAGGAACCGTGGTGATAAATGAAATTTATCTATTCTGCAAAGGAGTGCAGCATCAAAAGTCCTCTTTCTGCAGGGTGTAGTGCCAGACTTGACCCTTAGATACAGCCGTCTCTAATTCCAGCTGAGCTTTCATGGCTCAGTTCTCTGTAATCAGATTTCACCTTGTGCTGGGGGTTGGGGAGACTAACCACGGCAGGTACAACAGACTAAATGTTCTTGATGTCTTCTGTTTGCGTACATTCTAAATGAGCAACAGGCTGAAGGAAATTAGCCTGTAAATTAGTTTTTTACACAGGATCTTCAGCTTGTATTCCGTTTTGCCTGAAAAAAAAAAAAAAAAAAA